ATAAATAAATAAAATCTTAAAAAAAAAAAAGATGGCAGATAATCCCCTCACCAACATCCAAATATGTGACATTCTCTCTCTTTCTCTCACAAACACACACACCCCCCCCCCACACACCCCACACACACATGATGGCCCATTTTCTTCATCAGTTAGACATGCAGGATTTTTATTCGTGTGCTTGTCTTTTTGATCTGAGGCATACATTTTCCTGGTCTTTTAATAAGGTATTTTATAACAGTTTCCAAGCTTCCTGTAGTCTTTATACATTCTTAGCTACTCTTTTTTGTTTTGACCTATCCAGTAAATACTCAGGAACTATAAAATCTTTGTGTACAGTGCCTTCAATAAATATTGATTATTTTTACTCAAATTTTCAGTGCTGAATATGTAAAATTCCAAAAATAAATCTAGGTTATTTTTATTTCTTTAAAAAAATGAATTGGTAATGAACTTAAATATACTTTGCCAGATAATAAAAACACTTTGTTTCTTCAGCTTTGCTAAGGAAACTGAAAACTAAGAGATTTATAAACTTGAAACAAATGTCACATCCTATCAAGGACAAGAACCAGTTCTAACTTGACTGCATAGATTTCCTGACCCTTCTGAAATTGGGACAGTCTGGATTTCCCAGCTGTCCACCACTACCATGATTATTACAACTTTAAAAAGAGGCTTTACTTCAGTCTTAAAATTTAGACTGTTCCATGACTTACAGTTTATAGTAGATTTTTACACATATTCCACACATATGAACTATATGTGACATTTAAATTTTTCTAAATAACCTTACTACTGTTGATGTAATTGGAGTTATTTTTTTTTAAGATTTTATTTATTTGACAGACAGAGATCACAAGTAGGCAGAGAGGCAGGCAGAGAGAGAGAGAGAAGAGGAAGCAGACTCCCTGCAGAGCGGAGAGCCTGTTGTGGGGCTCGATCCCAGAACCCTGGGATCAGGACCTGAGCTGAAGGCAGAGGCTTAACCCACTGAGCCACCCAGGCGCCCCAGGGTACCCCTGGAGTTATTTTTAAGTTATAGGAAGCAGTTGGGTTTCTCCAAATTTTTTCCTTTCTTTTTATTTCACCAAATGAGGAGAGAGTAAAATAAAAAATAATGGTGTTTCACAGTTAAACTTAAAAAAAAAAAAGTAATTCGTACACCTGAAACTAATGTAACATTGTGTGCCAACCACAGTACAATTAAAAAAAAAGTGTGTGTGTGTGTGTATATATATATATATATACATATATATATATATATATACATATATATATATATAGTAATTCTTTTTTCAGGAGAGAAATGAGATGCAGATCCAAATTATTTCTACCCGATTAATTGCAAATAGCTCATAGAGAAAATGCTATACAGACCTAGTTATTATATGAGTGCTTCAACTAGACTCAGATGTACTTCAAAAAAGGGTATAGGCATCCCTTTCAAACTTACTTCTTCTAAACTTCTGGGATTACAGAAATTGCTTAAGTCATTCCTTTGTCAATGACTTGATTAAATCTGTATCAGGTGGACTATGAAAACCACTTAAGGATTAATGTGGCTATTGTTCAAATTAACATTAACAAATTCTTCCCTTTCCAGAGAATTGTAAGCATGATTATGGCCTTTATCTTTCCAAAAGCACTTGTCATTTAATTATTAGAGGGTTTTTCTGATTCTTTGTTAGATTCCTTGAAACAGCAAAAGCTGTGATTGTTTTTATTATTAAAACTACATTTTGATGAATAAAAACATCAAGTTCCCTACCCTCAAAGAGTAATTTTTAACACAAAACATACTTGAATGTTTAATAATTATCTTTAAAAGCAGTTTTAAGTAAATAAAAGCTCTTTGCCAAGCAAGGTCCATGTTTTGTAACTTCCAGCTGTGAAGCAGTCACCATATAAAGCAGACATATTAAATGTTAATCACTTTAGCTCTACCTAATTAAATATTTAGCCCTACAAAGATCTAGAGAAAGTGAAAAAGGTTGAACTTGATTTAATGTATACAATTATTTTGAATCACGTTCTCTCCCTGGATGATTACAATCAAGTGATGTACCTAGTATTTCACCTTTGAAACCTCCAAGGTGCAAGACCATTCTCAAATCATTATTGTCACAAACACAATCATCATTATTGCCATCACAGCTAATACTTATTAGAAGCTTACTCTGTGCTAGTCTACGAGCTTTACATGCAGACTTTTATTTGCTCCTTACAACAGCCCTATGAGGTAGGTGTTATTATCTTCATTTAGAGTCTAAAGCTTAGAAAGGTTAAGCAACTTTAAAAAAAAAAAAGGAAAAAGAAAGGGTTAAGTAACTTGACGAATATCACATAACTAGTAGGTGCCAGATCCCAGATTTCAAAGCAGACTAAACAGGTTAAACCTCTTGCTCCTAACCTCTCCTTTATTTTGCCCAAGCCCACTTAATTCACTTAAATTTGGTATAAATTGACTTTAATCATGACCTGACTTTTTTGTTGGGACTCATTTTGGTCTTTCCCTTCAGTACACATGTTGTCCAAGAAATGCTGGACAAGAGAAACATATATCAAAGCATAGGGAAACATGGTATAAATAATTGAAAAGTTAATTAACAAAGATTTAAAAAAATAAAAAGCCAAACCCATGATTGTCAGATGAGTGGAGTAGATGGTGAAGAATGCTTGGCGTTATTTAACAATCAGGTCCTCCTCAAGGCTGGAAAGGCTTTAAATAAAAATGAGGAGGTAAGGGCATCCTCAGAACAGGATGAATGCCTCTGCAAAGGCAGAATGTCTGGAAAGTGCTAGGTGAGTGGGAACGTGTGGGGATTGCCCAGTAGGGACTGGAAAAGGAAAGGGAGGGTAGAGGGGATTGGAAGTGCTGGGTCACATACATTTACACATGATGTCTTACTCAGTACTAAGGACAGTTTTAGACCCTGACAACAGGAAATCTTTGAATACTCTGAGTTGAATTTGGGTCATTTCATCTCTTCCTCCTCTAGCTGTTGTATGACCCTCTGTCATCCTACTTATGTTTCATTTTCCTATCTGTAAAAAGGGAATAATTCTTTTTTTTTTAATATTTTATTTATTTGACAGACAGAGATCACAAGTAGGCAGAGAGGCAGGCAGAGAGAGAGGAGGAAGCAGGCTCCCTGCTGAGCAGAAAGGCAGATGGGGGGGCTCGATCCCAGGACCCTGAGACCATGACCTGGTTTTAAGGCTTTAACCCACTGAGCCACCCAGGCGCCCCAAAAGGGAATAATTCTTGTTCTCTTGGGTTCTCTCCTAGTCATCAAAAATGAGAGTTAGGCCATAGTACACAGACAAAAGGAAAATGTACTATTTTATAAGATAGATTCCTAAAAGCTGTGAAATATCTGGACACATCTTTATAAAATGAGCACCGTAGAAAACTTTTAATGAAACATTTAAATTCATTAATGATTGCAGCTGTAACAGATCCTGGAACCTCATTTCTCCTTTAAGTGGTAGGAACTTGAAAAATATTAAAATGGGATGCAGTAGGCTTTCAATTACTTAGGCCACTGACAATCCAATTTATGGATTACATAGAATTTTAATTTACTCATTTCACACGTCGTTATCAACTCTACATGAAGTTTAAAAGGACAAAGGATGAAAATGGAATTGGCCAGTTTTCCATGTTATTTCCATGGTGGGGCAGAGAGTCGGGGGATTTCCTTTGAGACAAGCCTCGGTGCAGCCAATAATTGCTAGTATTGCCAGACTGGTAATAACAGGCTGATGAAAAGGTGAATACAACGCGAAAACTCTGATTAAATCAAGCGCACCCTCCCACCCTCGGGTTACAGGAGGAATTTTCCTCTCTCCCGCCCTCACAGAAGGGGCTGAGACAGCATCTGGCATCATAATACCAACATTTGTTTCGTGGTTCCTCTTTACCGGGCACTCTTAACGCACACCACTTCTTAGGAACCAGGATTCACTGGTACTTTTCTGCATTTTTTACAAAAACGTCGGCTTGAGAATCTGGGGTTGCTTTTTCACCAGCTGTAAGAACCGCGATCTGGACCCCTCCCCCGAAGAAGCCGAGCTCTTCCCCAGTTTTATTCCAGGCCTGTGACACCTCCACTCCCTCGGTGAAACCGCCGTGACTCACATCTTGCACATCCTTCGCCCCCCACGCGCCCCCAACACACAAACCCCGAGAACCCAACCCGAACCCATAGCGCCTCGTGAAACCCGCCCAAGCCGACTTGGAGGTCTCGGGTCTGAGTCACACAGAAGGACCACCCTCGTCGGCATTCGCCACCCCCCTCCCCACACAGCCCCTCACACCCCGGCGCGCCGGCCGCCCCATCTCCCCGGCTGACACACCGACGCCCGTCGCCTCTGCGCAACTTGTTATGCTCCAGCTCAAGCCCTTGACCCAAAAACCTTCAAGAAATAGAGAGCCGCAGAGCCGGCCTCGGGCGGCCTTTGATGGCTTTGTTATTGTTTGGGTTTGAATCGATACGCCCCTCCCCATCCTTCCTCCCTCGCCGCCCGACACCCAGCTCCCGCCTCCCCTCACGCCCCGCGCCCCTCCCCCTCCATTTTGGCGCCTTTTCCTTCCCGCCACGTCGTGGCGGCGTAGAGACCATTCTGACCGCGAGAGCGGGGCGGGGCGTGGGCGTGGCGCGCCGCGTTATGCAGATCAGTCGGCTTCTGGTTGGCTGGACACGGGCCGGCGGGGGCGGGGCCGGGGCGCGGCGACGGAGCGCGCGGGGCGGGGGCCAAGGGGAGTCGCCCTGTCCCGCCGCTTCCCCACCCCCTCTCCTCCCTCCTCCGGCCGGGCAGCCCCGCTCTCCGCCTAGGCCTCCCGGAGAGGCCCCGCCCCATCCCCGCCCGCCCGTGCGCCCCACCACCCGCCGGCGCGCTCCGCCCCTTTACTCCTGGCTGCTGGGCGAGCCGGGCGTCTGCTGCAGCGGCCGCGGTGGCGGAGGAGGCCCGAGAGGACTTGGCGGCAGCGGCGGCGGCGGTGGCGGGACCGGCAGCAGCAGCAGCAGCTACAAGCTCTCAGTGCCGTGGCGCTGCCGCACGAGCCCCACGAGCCGCCCACCCCGCCGCCCTCGGCGCTGCCTGACCCCGCCGGCGTGTCCGCCAGCCGCCAGCCCCGGCAGCGCCCCCAGTCGTCCTCCGACTCGCCCTCGGCCTTCCGCGCCAGCCGCAGCCGCAGCCGCAACGCCACCCGCAGCCTCAGCCCTAGCCTTAGGCACAGCCACCGGCACAACCCCAGCCCCAGCTCCTGCTGCAGCTCCTCCAGACACAGTTCTTACGCCGACACCCTGGAGGTTGGGATGCTCTTGTCCAAAATCAACTCGCTTGCCCACCTGCGCGCCGCGCCCTGCAACGACCTGCACGCCACCAAGCTGGCGCCGGGTGAGCACCACCCCCCCCCAAGCCCAGGATGGCGAGGCGGCTGGACCCCCAGCGTGGGAACTGGGAGCTCTCGGGCCGGCACTGAGTTTCCTGTGCTTCCCTCTTTACTAGGCAAGGAGAAGGAGCCCCTGGAGTCGCAGTACCAGGTGGGCCCGCTACTGGGCAGCGGCGGCTTCGGCTCGGTCTACTCAGGCATCCGTGTCGCCGACAACTTACCGGTGAGTGGGCGCCCCGCCGTGGGGAGGGCGCGCTGGGCAGGGGGGCGCCCGGGTGTGCTTTGGCCCCGGCGAGAGGATCTCATGGAGACTCTTTGGGGGGGGGTTTCAGGTGGCCATCAAGCACGTGGAAAAGGACCGGATTTCCGACTGGGGAGAGCTGGTGAGTGCCCTGGAGGGAGCGACCCCTAGGATGGGTGGGGTGAGGGACACCCTCCGACTCCCGCTCTAACGCAGCCCCCTCGCCCATGCAGCCCAATGGCACTCGAGTGCCCATGGAAGTGGTCCTGCTGAAGAAGGTGAGCTCGGGCTTCTCCGGCGTCATTAGGCTCCTGGACTGGTTCGAGAGGCCCGACAGTTTCGTCTTGATCCTGGAGAGGCCCGAGCCGGTGCAAGACCTCTTCGACTTTATCACGGAAAGGGGGGCCCTGCAGGAGGAGCTGGCCCGCAGCTTCTTCTGGCAGGTGCTGGAGGCTGTGCGGCACTGCCACAGCTGCGGGGTGCTCCACCGCGACATCAAGGACGAGAACATCCTCATCGACCTCAATCGCGGCGAGCTCAAGCTCATCGACTTCGGGTCGGGGGCGCTTCTCAAGGACACCGTCTACACGGACTTCGATGGTGAGCCAGGCTTGGGAGGGAGCTGCCGGGGAGGGATCTGCCCAGGTGACTTGGCCTTGCCTGGAGGCCTCGGCCGTCTTTCCTCTCCGGCCCTTTGTAAAGGTCACCGGGCCGTCTGGCTCGATGCTAGCAGGGGTGGGGCGAAGGAGAGCTTCCCAGCGTAGTAGAGCCGGAGATTTCGAGCCAGCTGAACCTGTCATGTTTCTGGCATGATTTTATTTTTTAAGTGGAATTCAGTGGGTTCCAAGCTTTCCCGATGAATAAGAGGTTGTGGGCAACCGGCCTTAGCCCAGATTTCTGAAGTCTGACCCAGTTTCCCCGCCAGTAAAAGGATGGGGGGGGGGGAGGGAGGAGAGAGCGGGAGAGATGAAAATTGATGCCGGTTTTGTAATTTTTGTTTTGTGCTAAGGGAGTTTAGTTTTGTGTAAGGTTAGTTTTTAAAACTGCAGTTCTTCTACCCCTTTGATCTAGGGCCGGGTAAAGGAATAGAAACAGTAGTTTCACTAAATTATTTTGTTGGGCTTATTCTTTATTTTTTGGCGTTGCGGGGTGAGGGAGTCGGGAATGAATGTTGTGAAATAAGATCTCTTGTTGGTTTGAAAATTAGTTGGGTGTCTCCGCTGAAAGGATGAAAACCTATCCTAGGGAGGGGCTTGGAGCGGGTTCTTTCAGAAAAGATGGAATTGAGAGCCAGAGATCAAAGCAAAGGAGGGTGGGTCATCATTTGAGCGGCTTAACCTAACAAACGACAGCCTTTCAAAACTTGTGACTGGGGCTTGTGGTTTGTGTTTATTTGCCCTTGGAGGACGCTGGGTTGGGCTGCAATTTTTTGTATTTAACAGTTAATGGCTGGCCGGGTCCTCCCTTGTTTTTTCCTTCGAGTCTTTGCTGCCCCCTGGTGAGCACAAGCGGGATGGCCCCCACTTTTTTTTTTTTTTTTTACAACCCAAAGTTTGTAAACAGGAATCACGTGGTCTGAAACCCGCTCTGCCGCTCTATCTTCCCAGTGAGGGGAAGAGAGAGGGTGTGGGTGTCTGCCTCTGCACGCACAGGGTGGGGAGGAAGGCCTCCTAAAGGGCACCCGGACTTAAGATACAGTATATTATGTAAGTGCCCTGCACTGGATCATATCTGAGATCAGAATCTCAGCCAGGCTCCTGGGCCACCTTAGTGCAGTTTAAGGATAGTCTGTGGGCTGTCTCCCATGATTGTGTGCAGACACTCATCCCTTCACCCCATTGTGGGTGGTCCTACCACATACACCCCTCAGGCTTTGGGTTTGTGGCCAGCCCTGTTTGTTTCTTGGAGCAGTTTATAAAGAATTTGGTTTATGGTCTGGACTGCTGGGTGGGTAATGCTTTGGGTCGGAGAGATGCCACTCTTGCACTCCTTTTAGCCTAGGGGGAAAATGGAGTTAGCCTAGACCCTGTCCTGGGAGAAGTGAAGTGTTTTGTTTCAAGGAGTCCGTGTACCACTGAGTGTGTGAGTTGCTTTGTTTAATTTTTGCTCAAAGCTTGTGTTTTCCTTTTTTATTCCCTTGGCTCACAGGGACCCGGGTGTATAGCCCTCCAGAGTGGATTCGCTATCATCGCTACCACGGCAGGTCGGCAGCCGTCTGGTCGCTGGGGATCCTGCTGTATGACATGGTCTGTGGAGATATTCCTTTTGAGCATGATGAGGAGATCATCAGGGGCCAAGTTTTCTTCAGGCAGAGGGTCTCTTCAGGTAACTTTTGGGAAGCGCCTTGTTGAGGAGAAGCAGGAGTCACAAAGCCGGCAGTCCTCAGGGGATAGTCTCTGCGTTCTGGACAGCTCTGCCTTTCCAGGGGATGCCGCTGCCCTTGGCTTAGCAGAGTCCTGGCCCAATGAATCTGGAGAGCCAGTCCTCAGAAATTGAATGGTTTGCACTTGAGCATTCTTTGAGAGGTCAGAGGAAGAGCATATGTGAGAATATTAAAAAAAAAAAAAAAAGACCATTTAGTTTCACTGAAAGATTTTTTTTTTTTTAAGATACTTATTTATTTGACAGGCAGAGATCACAAGTAGGCAGAGAGGCAGGCAGAGAGAGGGGGGAAGCAGGCTCCCCGCGGAGCAGAGAGCCCGATGTGGGCCTCCATCCCAGGACCCTGGGATCATGACCTGAGCCGAAGGCAGAGGCTTAACCCACTGAGCCACCCAGGTGCCCCTCACTGAAAGATTTTTTTTTTTTAAGTACCCACAGTCCTCATCTCTCAACTCCTGGCTGTTTTGCCAGGGAGTGAAAAGTTGAGGGTTCTTTGAGCCTTCCCCCTGAAGGCAGACTCTCTAAATACTGCGGTTCCCGTGACCTCATTGTGGGTGGTGTTCATATTTGTAAGTTGTAGGTGAATTGAATCACCTCATCATGCTCACTGATGTCTCATCAAAATCCTTTGTCGTCATTCTTCCTATTTCTGGTGAGTGGGTGTCGTGGGAAAGGCCCCGGCTATTGAAGTTTAAAAACCACAGGTTTAAGAGGGGAGCTATTTTTTTTTTTTTTTTTTTTTTTTTTAAGCTGAAAGCACCTTGGAGGACCTAGATCTTAGTGAATATCTTCCATTGAAAAATAGAGTTCTAGAAGGTTCCTGGTCTCTTTTGGACGCCAGACTTGTTGGCCCCTGGGAAGCAAATTAGCAAGACCTTTGCATTGCAAAAACGAGTTGAGTCATTCATAATCTCTGTCTTGCTTTCTGCAGAGTGTCAGCATCTCATTAGATGGTGCTTGGCCCTGAGACCATCAGACCGGCCATCCTTCGAAGAAATCCAGAACCATCCCTGGATGCAAGATGTCCTTCTGCCCCAGGAAACAGCTGAGATCCATCTGCACAGCCTGTCACCAGGGCCCAGCAAATAGCAGCTTTTCTGGCAGATTCTCCTCTCCCCGTCAGATGCTCGAGGGAGGGGAAGCTTCTGTTTCCAGCTTCCCGAGTACCAGTGACACTTCTCGCCAAGCAGGACAGTGCTTGATAACAGGAACAACATTTACAACTCATTCCAGACCCCAGGGCCCTGGAGGTCGCCTCCCAACAGTGGGGGGAAGAGACTCTACTCCAGGTGTCCTAGGCCTCAACTCCTCCCGTAGATGCTCTCTCCTTCTCACAGAACGTCCAGCAAGCACTGCTGGGCTCTGTAAACTCCCGGGGGTGGGGGGTGGGGGGGATCAGAACCCTGCCATGGAACTGTTCCCTACATCACGAGTTCTGCTGAATGCCGCGATGGGTCGGGTAGGGGGAAACAGGTTGGGGTGGGATAGGACTAGCACCATTTTAAGTCCCTGTCACCTCTTCCGACTCTTCTGAGTGCCTTCTGTGGGGACTCCGGCTGTGCTGGGAGAAATACTTGAACTTGCCTCTTTTACCTGCTGCTTCTCCAAAACTCTGCCTGGGTTTGGTTCCCTATTTTTCTCTCCTGTCCCCCTCTCCCCATCCTTCATATGAAAGGTGCCATGGAAGAGGCTACAGGGCCAAATGCTGAGCCACCTGCCCTTTTTTTCTGCCTCCTTTAGTAAAACTCCAGAGTGAACTGGTCTTCCTTTTTGGTTTTTACTTAACTGTTTCAAAGCCAAGACCTCTCTCTCTCTCTCTCTCTCTCTCTCTCTCTCTCACACACACACACACACACACACACACCACACAAAATGCACAAACAATGCAAATCAACAGAAAAACTGTAAATGTGTGTACAGTTGGCATGGTAGTGTACAAAAGGATTGTAGTTGATCTAATCTTTTTTAATTTTTGCCTTTAAGTTATTTTACCTGTTTTGTTTTTGGTTTGGTTTTTTTTTGTTTTTGTTTTGTTTTGTTTTGTTTTGTTTTTGAAAAGATGCGCATTCTAACCTGGAGGTCAACATTATGTATTTATTTATTTATTTATTTGGTTCCCTTCCTGCTCCAAGCTTCCACGGCTGCTGCCATAGTTTCTTTCCTCCTTTTCCTCCTCTGACTTGGGGACCTTTTCGGGGAGGGCTCGCTCTGTTCGTAGGGTGACGGGACTCAGGCGGGACAGCTGCTGTGGCTCCCTGACTGCTGCCGGTCCCCTCGCTGGCCTGACCTGAGCGGGGACGGGTTCCGAGGGGCACGGGGAGGGGCATCGCTGACTGGTGTATATAGGATAGCTATATGAAAAGCAGTTCTGGATGGTGTGCCTTCCGGATCCTCTCTGGGGCTGTGTTTTGAGCAGTATGTAGCCTGCTGGTTTTATCTGAGTGAAATACTGTACAGGGGAATAAAAGAGATCTTATTTTTTTTTTTTTATACTTGGCGTTTTTTGAATAAAAACCTTTTGTCTTAACTTGTGGCTTTTAAGTGTTGTCCGTGCAGAGGCAGGCTCACTTTACTGACCTGCTGGGAATCTCCCACAGGACTTGAAGCCCAACTCTGGTTCCCTGCACCAGGCCACCTGGCAGCCTGGGTAGCCTATACCTTTCTGAAGTCTAATGTGTGGCCTAAGGGTTGCGGGGTGGGGTCGGTGGGCAATCTTGGTTGGACAGAATTCGGCCCGAGTGTTCAACCTCTGTTGCCCCATGCAAATTCTAGAACTGCAGTAGTACAGCAAAGGTGGCTGTTTCCCCATGGCGCGAGTCGCATTTCAGGGGAGAGCCACTTGTCAATGGGGTAATGGAACTATAGAACATTTCCATCCCTGCGGAAAGTTCCATTGGAACAGGGCTGACCTCGAGACAGCAAACAGCTCTATTGCTAAACTGACAGTGGAAGCTTTGTGCAGCCATCTTTCCCACCAGCAAAATGTTTGGGGCGGATAGACCTGACACGTGTTAAGCTTACTGAAAAACCAGATACCTGTATTACTCTCAGTTCCCGATTCAAGTTCCCTTCACCTTTAGTGTGGGGTTGAGTCATTAATAGCAGATGGGTGGAAATGTTTTTGACCTAAGCAGACCTGGGTTTTCCCCTCCCATGTGCTTTACACAGCTTATAATGGGGAGTAGATGAAATAAATGTTAGCTCTGCCCTCTTCTTACTGCTTGTGCTGGGATTAGTAATTTTGGTCTGTGGTTTCTCTGCAGGAATCTGTTGAAGGCCCTTGTTTTTTTTGTGAGAGTTTATTTTAAAAAATTTTTGAAGTTGGCCCCACCCCTAATGTGGGGCTCGAACTCACAGGACCAAGAGGCGCACGCTGTACCGATACCGCCAGCCAGGGGCCCCTGTGAGGGTTTAGTTTAAACTGAATGGGGGAACCTGTGAATCCACTTTAGTGCACATGGCCTAACTGCATGCTGATAGGCAGCATGCTAGAGCGCGTACTCTGTTAGTTTGCATATTAAGTATTAGTAAATGTTGGTTTCTTTTTTCTCAATAAGCCTCAGTAGCAGTTCTAACATTTTTCCTCTCCTACGGGTCATCCGCGTCCCCCCCTCCCCTGCCTCACGCACGCACACACACCCTTGGGACACTGGTGAGAGGCTGTCTGGTCAGGTTACTGGAGGGGCCAGGTAACTACTTCTCACTCGTTTACCCTTAAGTTGGACCGGATCCCAAGCCTAGGCAGGAGAGAAAGGAAGGATTTCTCGGTTTGGGAGCCTGATTTCCCGAGTTCCTCTTTTCTCCCCACCCCCACGCAAGCATACACACTAACTCCCAGTCTTGTGGCACGTGAGTGTTGTATGCCTCAGCCTTTCCAGTAAAGCTGACACTTGAACTATAAAGTTGCTCCAAACTTCTAACGAAATCTTGCAAAGCCCCACCCATCGCTCCCTTGAAGTGAATTTCTGGCAGTTTCCCCATCCTCTTTTGAGACTGCTAGGGGTGATGGAAGACAGCGTCTCTTTGAAAAAATGCATATTGTGCTCCTACTGGGTGCAGGATAATGAGGGGTTGTATGGAAAGGGTGAAAGCATGTTTAGTCTTCTCTCTGCCAGCTGACAATCTAGTGTGGAAAGGGAGTCGATGACTAATACAACTAAGGCCACAGGAATACAGGGGGAAGGGTGGGGGGACCAATGGTTATGAACATTGGCTTGGGACTCACTCTTTTCTTTTTTTTAAATATTTTATTTATTTATTTATTTTTAGTTAGTTATTTTTTTAATATTTTATTTATTTATTTGACAGAGAGAGAGAGAGAGATCACAAGTAGGCAGAGAGGCAGGCATAGAAAGAGGAGGAAAGGTGGCTCAGTGGGTTAAAGCCTCTGCCTTTGGCTTAGGTCATGATTTAAAGGTCACGGGATTGAGCCCCGCATCGGGCTGTCTGCTCGTCAGGGAGCCTGCTTTCTCCCCTCTCTCTCTCTGCCTGCCTCTCTGCCTACTTCTGATCTTTGTCAAATAAATAAATAAAATATTAAAAAAAAAAAAAAAGAAAGAGGAGGAAGCAGGGTCCTTGCCGAGCAGAGAGCCCGATGCGGGGCTCGATCCCAGGACCCCGAGATCATGACCCGAGCCAAAGGCAGAGGCTTAACCCACTGAGCCACCCAGGCACCCCAAGATTTTATTTATTTGACAGAAAGCACAAGCAGGGGGAGCGGGAGAGGGAGAAGCAGGCTCCCTGCTGAGCAGAGAGCCCTGGGATCATGACCTGAGCCAAAAGCAGACACTTAACCAGATAAGCCACACAGGTGCCCAGGACTCACTCTTAAGCTTTGTTTCTACCGCCCTCTGCGTGGATCCCTTGGGCAAGTTCCTAGACCCCCTCAGACTAATCTCTAAATAGAGATATTCCTTGATTGGATTTTTAGGAAGATAGAATTAAATAACGGTGTGTTGCTTGCGAACAAACACTATCATCTCCCACTTAGGGATGCGTATAGCCGTGGTCAGAGGACTGAGATGGAGTGGGCAATAAATTTCCAGAGTCAGGATAGTGGTCATTACTCTGGAGAGAAGGAAGGGAGGCAATGATTTGGGAATGGTTATCTGCACAGGGGTCTTTGACTATTTGGGCAATGCTTTATTTCAGAGGTTAGATGATAAAGATTAAGGTGTTTACATTATTCCTTTTTTTTTTTTTCTTCAGTAGGCTCTAAGCCGAATGTCGGGCTTGAACTTGAGACCCTGAGCTCAAGATTCTCTCATGTTCTACCAACTGAGCCACCCAGGAGCCTCGATAAATTTTAAAAAGTAACGAAGAAATTTGTGTTTATCACCTAGGAAGCAGGAGATGGAGTTATGACTGCCCTTGGCAGAGGTGATCTGGGAAGGCTTCAAAGAGGAAGCGCCATTTCAATTGGCTTTGAAGAATGAAACTCAGTTTGTTCATCTGTAAAGTGAGCACTGAGCATGCAGACTGAGATAAGAAATCCAGAGAGGCCACGTTTTCTCCCCATGAAAGCAAGGATCAGCAAACTCTGGCCTACTGATGGAGCCTGGCACAGCACCTGGGTCTGCACAGCCCACAAGCTAAGACTGGGTTTTATATCTTTAAATGGTTGAAAAGTGATTGAATGAAGAGTAATGTTTTGTCACCTGGAAGGATGACATGAAATGTAATTGTCAGCGATCGTAAATAAAGCTTACCCATTTATGTGTTGTCCAAGGCTGCTTTCCTGCTACAGTGGTAGAGCTGGGTAGTTGTGACCGAGACTTTATGTCTGGCGAAGTGAAAAATATTTACTATCTGGCCCTTACAGAAAAAGTTTGCTAACCCCTGCAGGGGACCTACATTTTTCATATCACTTAGGGATAACAGCTATCCTTCGTTCAGTATCGACTGTGTGCCTGGCACCGTTCCGCACGCTAATCTTACAACTCTCCATGAGGTAGATTACTATTTATCCCCATTTTACGGATGGGGAAAACTGAGGTGCAGAGCAGTGAAGTACCATGTCAAAGGTCACAAAGGAGGGGACAGGTCAGAATTTGGACCCAGGAGATCCATGTTCATTACCATCCTGTGAGACTGCCACTTAGAATAATGTTTGTGTGCTTAGTCATCTCAAGGTTCCTTCAGGACCCAGGATTTGGAGGTCAAGGCAGTTGTTCCCTAGACTTCAGAGAGTCGGGTAAGCAGTTCAATTGTGTGGAAATATTCATTGTTGGCTCTAGTGAGCTCCCCTTCTCTGGAGCCTTGAGTGGGGAGGAAGAGTTGGAGGTGGTAAAAGGCAGAGAAAGAGGAGGGGGGAGGAGGGCGGGTTCGGGGTGGGGCGGGGGCACATTTCTTGTAAATGTTGCTCAGCTCCTTCAACTGCTCTGCTGGTTCTTGGAAACCCTCACCACAAAGGACCTATCGACAACAGTGTTAAAGCAGATATGGCCTCATCCCCCAGTTCACTTCCTGCCCAGCCTTGCGTTAGTAACCCCATTGCCAAGAGCAAGGTTGCAGTGACCCCTCGGCAGCGCTGTGGGAGGAAGTGCAAAAATATGCAGAACTGGGGTCAAGCTCAGGGGACAGTCTTTATTTTTATTTATCATTAACAGGATGTCTGATGCACAGAATTGGATTAATCGTAATCCTTGGTTCATGATATGTTCTCGAGGTCCAAGCGTGGCCTCCTGTTATTATTAGATTTCACTGGACTGGGTGAACCACCCCCCCAACTCGAGAAGCAGACATCCATCTATCTAGATGATTCTCTCTTCATCCCTTCCTTGCCTTTCCCTGATGCAGTTCACTCTCCTAAATTTTGCCTTTAGCAGTCTCTTACCTCTCTTTAAAAATTTTTCAATGTTATGAGCACATGTTCCTACATTATGTAATGTTGAGTTTTAGGTGTTCTTGAACTTTATTGTAAGTATCATGTATGTATGTAGTGATCTGGAACTTGCTCTTTTCACTCAACACAGTGTTACAAAGACTCACGTGTGTGTTTCGTTTTCACTTCAGAAAATTCCATTTTATGGACAGGCCTTTTGATTGTGGTCAGTGGAGGCCACTCTTCTGTTGTTGTTTGTATGCTTTTTGTGTTTGTGCTTGCTTGTTTTTGTTTTATTTTTTAAGTAGGCTCTATGCCCAGTGTGGAGCCCCACATGGGGCTTGAACTCACGACCCTGAGATCAAAACCTGAGCAGATACCAAGAACTGGGCACTTAACTGAGTCACCTAGGTGCCCCCAGTGGAGGCCACTCTTTAGGGGAGCCGTGGGTTAAATCACTTAGGAGGTCAGCACACATAGCTAGGTGTAGCTCTTGCCTAATACCCCAAGGTGAAAGCCAGAGACTGTGTAGCCATTCCAGATTTATCCATGGAGCATCTACTATTGTACCTGGCAGCAGGCTGAGAACTCCTTTCTTACGCATAAGTAGCTAGAACCAGACTTCCCTCCTCGGCCCGCTCTAGGGTTCAACATGATGCCAACAGACAGACGAGTCTCCCAGCCAAGTGGAGATCTGATGCTGTGTGGGATTCCCGTGAGATCTCTGGACATCACAGTGGCTCTTGTGCACGTGATGTGATGCGTGTATGATGTGTGTGTGGCGGGGTTGGGGTGGGCAGTGTAGACGTGGTGTGCGTGTCTGGCGTGATACAGAGATGATGACATGGTGTGGCGGCATTCGTGTGCAAGTACATGTATCTTTGGTGTGTGTGCTGAAGCATGGTGTATGTGTGTGTGTGTTGGTGTGTAAGTACAGTACAGTGTGTGTGATGTGTCTATGTATGGATATGTGTGTGCTGCTGTATAAACACACTCATTCTTGGAGTTGTTACCTGCTTACCCCACCTAGGCAAGAGTGCTGTTTCTTTTTTTCCTTCCTTCCTTCCTTTCTTTCTTTCTTTCTTTCTTTCTTTCTTTCTTTCTTTCTTCTTCCTTTTTTTTCTTTTTTGAGAGTCCCGTTTCTTCCCTCCGTGACCTGGCTGCCTCCTTGATCTCCCTCTGCCTTGAATCTTCTACGCAGGTTTCTCTAACTTCTCTTCATCTTTTATCTTCTGCCTGATCTCCCACTCAGACCCCTCTTCCAGAACCACCCGCCCAACTGTCTTCATTCTTCCCAGCTCTTCCTCCACATGGCCCATCCCAATACACCTTTGAGATCCATCCTTGCAATCTTCATAAAGCTTTTGGCCCCGCCCTCCTCCTTAAGACTCCGCCTCTGGTTTCGTAATCCCTGGTTTGCCTTTGACCTCTCTGCCCCTTCGGCCCAGTTTCCTCTCCTTCTTCCTGCCTTGAAACTGCTGCTTTCTTTCCCTTTCTCACGGCCCTCCCCAACCCCATCCCCCTGTGGGGATCAGGACCCCGGCAGGAAACAGATGGGGGCACATTTGTGTCCTGTGAGGGGAGTGTGAAAAAGATCCATGCAGGAAGGTGTGGGGCAGGTGTTGGGAAAGGTGCACTGCTGTACCCTGGAGCTAGCGACGGGAGAATTACCTCTCAGGCCCAAGGGTAGAGAAGGGAGTGGGCATTGGAACCACACCGGTATGTAGAAAGCCTGCCCTACAGGAGCTGTGACCTTTCTTCCAGAAAAGCGGTCTGCCTGTGGTGACCCCACACGGAAGGCCAGGGAAGTAAAGGCCCTGGCCTGCTCTCTCTTTCCACCCTCTGGTCTCCTACCAGGGCCTCCCACTCCAGTTGGCTGAGCCCCATGGGGTGCCAGAAGGCAGGGAGTCTCGTGTGGGGCAGTCATCACAGGTCAGCCTCTGGGGGTGCAGAGCAAGGTGGAGAAGTGCGTGCAGGGAGCAGCTCTGGAGAAGCGAAGGGAAGAGGACTACAGCACAGTCGAGGCAAGATTATGCTTCGTCCCTGAGCCTCACGGACCACCTTCTCCAGGATGACTCCCAAGAATCCAGCACACACCTCCCTCTGAGCTCCAGGCCAGGGGGTCAATAGCTTCCAGATACACAGTCGCGGGCTCCCAGGAGCCGGACATCTTACATATCCATCCATCCATCCATCCATCCATGTATAATATTTTTATTTATACACACATATTTTAGATTTATTAATTTATTTTAGAGAGAGAGTGGGGGGAGGGGCAGAGGGAGAGAGTCTTAAGCAGGCTCCACACTGAGCATAGAGCCTAGTGCGGGGCTAGATGTCATGACCCTGAGATCACAGACCAGAGCTGAAGCCAGTAGTTGGACACTCAACTATACAGAGTTGAGCCACCTAGGCGCCCCTATATATACACAGGTATTATCTACATATACATCTACAGGGCAGAGCTCAATTTTTGGTAACTCCTCCCTCTACCACTTTAACATGTACTATTGAAAAGTTTCCATTTCAAGAACTATGGATAAATATAATCATTTTGATATGGCCATAATATGGAAATACATTATTAATTTGTGTAATTTCCAATTTTCTACTATTATATATGAAATATTCTGTTACCAGATAAGGTAAGGCTTTGGACAGAGATTAATTGTTTAGGCCAATCCTTTTTCTTCCTTGGTGATAGAACCTCTGATTTTTAGTTCATCATATGGCCTTCCTTTATATATGTATATACATATATATATATATATATGTATATATATATTTAAAGATTGTATTTTTTTATTTGAGAGACAAAGGGAGCATGGGAGGCAGGGGTGGGCAGAGGGAGAAGCAGACTCCCCACTGAGCAGGGAAGGAGACATGAGGCTCGATAGCAGGATCCTGAGATCATGACCTAAGCCAAAGGCTGACACTTAACTGACTGAGACACCCAGGCACCCCAACATATATATATATATATAAAAGATTTTATTTATTTATTTGACAGACAGAGATCACAGGTAGGCAGAGAGGCAGGCAGAGAGAGGAAGGGAAGCAGGCTCCCTGCTGAGCAGAGAGCCCGATGCGGGGCTTGATCCCAGGACCCTGGGATCATGACCCGAGCCGAAGGCAGAGGCCCTAACCCACTAAGCCACCCAGGCGCCCCCAACATATATATTTTTAATTTTAAAGTTTCTTTTAAAGATTATTTATTTATTTATTTGAGAGAGAGAGAGAGAGAATAAGTTGGGAGGAGGAGCAGAGGCATAGGCAGAGAGAGAAGTAGGTTCCCCACCGAGCAGGGACCCCGATGCAGGACTCAATCCCAAGACCCTGGGATCATGACTGAGCTGAAGGCAGATGCTTAACTGACTGAGCCATCCAGGCATTCCTATATTTTAAAATTTTATTTTAAGATTTTATTTATTTATTTATTTGTTAGAGGGGAGAGAGAGAGAGAGAGTGCACAAGCAGGGGGGAGAGGCAGAGGGAGAGGGAGAAGCAGACTCTCACTGAGCCTGGAGTCCAATGTGGGGCTCAATCCCAGGATCTGGAGATCATGGCCTGAGCTGAAGTCAGATGCCCAACCATCTGAGCCAACCAGGTGTCCCTAATTAAAGTTTTATTATTATTATTATATTTAAAGAAGGCTCTCTGCCCAATGTGGGGCTTGAACTCATGATGCCAAGATCTGGAGTCACATGCTCCACCAATGGAGCCTGCCAGGCACCCCGATATGGCCTCTTTTAAGAAGGAAGACTAACTTCTTCAGATTTTCTTGCAGCTACCTGTGGACACATAATAAAGTTATGCCCAGTGAGCTGATTCCAGGAAAATTTATTAAAAGACATCTGGTGTGCCCCTCCACTCCCAAGAGGAACGGAGGAGC